CCCATTTGGAAGCTGAAAAGTTGATAACGGTAAGTTAGATAAAATATTAAAAACTTTCTAATGGGTGATGATAAACTATGACAAAAACTTAAACTTTTATAAAAGCACTAACCTATGACAAAATTAAACCCAAAGCCATAGCATAAAGAGTAACCAACTTTGAAATGCTGATGAATTAATTGCAATTCTATGTGTATGTGATAAATGTTTGAACCAACATCAAAGACATGTGAACCAAAGCAAAACACTTCAAGGGTAACAACAATCCATAAAACACTACTACAGCAAATAATAAAATCTATTATATGTTATCCCTCTAGTTAGCTTTTGAGACTAATGTTAACTCAAACTTATGACATTTGTCTTCATTTGACATTGTATTGGACTCAATAGTCCATTTGTCCTTCATATTTTCATAATCCCCTTTTCAAAAGAAAAAAAAAGTTATGAAGCACTAGTTTTGTTTTGACTTCTTGCACTTTTGCTATATACTTTTAGCTTAATTTTAGCCTAAACCTTCACTCTATTATCATATGCACTTGATCTCACTCCATTGGAGCTAGATATTTCATTCAAACTCATTATATTCATCCTCACTCCACAATCCATATCATTTGTGTTTACTCCAATACTATTGTCAGTCATCCTCACTTCATCATTGATACCTAACTCTTATCTATCCCATACTCCAAAGAGAAAAAAGTTTGAAGTATCAAGACTAAAAGGAGAAAGTAGAAAAAATTAAAGAAAAAATAAAGTGAAAGAAGAAAAAATGGGTAAAGTATTGATAAAACAAAGAAGAAAAAGAAAATGATATGCTAAAGGTTTAGATAACAAGAGGCCTCATGTTATAAGAGACTCTGTCCATATATAAAAACTAGATAATATTAGATATCTTATTATAAATTACTTAAGCCAAAATTAAATAAGGAAGATATTTACACCACTCAACCTCCTTAACACCAATTGAGATACAAATATTAAAGAAAAACCCCACTCTTTAGGGAATAAATAAATTCCTCAATAACAACTATAAATTAGCAACAATCACAATTAAAAATAGCACTTAACTCAAAACACTAATATAAGTGGTATAACCCTTGGAACAAAAGAATATTTAAAACCAAAATTAGTAAAAAATTGAGACAAAAGCAAATTTTTTAGTTATATACACATTCTCTACATCAACTATAGCACATTATCCATATCAATATAAGAAGGGCATAAAACACTCAAGTTAACACTAGACTAAAAAAGAAAATTATGAAATTAGAGATCATTAATGTGTTAAAAGAAGAAAGTATTATAGATGAAAAAGAAATTCCATGTAAATAACTAAAGGGTGAACGACTTGAGATAAAAGGTTGATAAATAAGAGTGCATTATATTTCCCAAGGGTCTTAAGTTATTTAAGGTTAAACATCCTTGAATTTCAGTATGATGATTTCTCAGAAGAGCTTATATACTAGCATAATGAAATGTCAAAGAAAGAGTGAAAAAAATATCAGATGGTAAATTAAAAAATTAATACCTTATTTATGAACTTTGATATAAAAAGCATAATCAATATGTGACATAGTAGCAAAAACAATATTGAGGATAATAGAGCAACATCTATGGCTTTAATGGCACACTCCTTTATCAACAATAAAGTAGTATAATAAAAAAGAAATGTAATTAAGATCATAAAAAAGAGCAAACGAATGAATGGATTAAATTTTCAATTAAAAATCCACATATTACACTATTATAATTACTTTCCTAGATGTATACTCTCTTCCTCACACTTCTGATCTCTTGGATCATTTGGGGATAAGTCATTAATTCACCAAGTTGAATCTTGCTTCTCAGTACTAGTAAATACCGATAGTTGAAAAGGATATTCCTAAAACTACTTTTTATACACCATTTAGTTGTACGAATTCTTAGTGATGCCATTTATTTTGAATAATGCTTTAGCCACTTTTTAACAAATGATAGATGAGGTTTTTTGTGATATGCCAAAAGTCACTTTTAACTTCATTAATGATGTTTTGATCCACTTGAAAGGGACATGGGAGAAACACGTCCATGATATTCGTAAAATGTTGGATTAACTACATGAAGTTAGTTTAAAGCTAAAGTGGTTAAAGTGCGTGTTTGGGTTTAAAAACAAGACTTATCTTGGGTATCGCATTTCTCATGAGAGTTTACAAATTAATCATAACAAACTTATGGTTGCTATAAAATTCCCTACTTCAAAGTGTGTGAATGATATACAACACTTCTTGGTGTAGTATCTCAGTCATTTTGTTGATTATCTTTTTTATCACATTACACCGTTACCAGCATTGCTAAAATCATCAATGTTATCTTTCACTTGGTCTATAGATTGTGAGTGGGTATTTACAGATCTCAAAGAATTATTAACGACTCCTCCAATTTTGGCATATCTTGATTACACTTAACTTTTCATTTTGCTCATGGATGCTTTTGATATCAGTCTTAGAGGTGTGTTGATGCAAGAAAACCCAAGTATGCTTAGTCAATGTTATCCTATTGCATATATCACCTATACATTACAACTAGCAAAGGTGAACTACTCCATGACAAAAGAGGAGTGTTTAGTAGTAGTATTTGGGGTTTTGAGAAACTTTATGCATGTCTATATAGTTTTTAGACATTATTAAAAGGTGATCATATTGCAATTCTTCATTATTGAAGCGGAAGAACTTAGTTAGTCATATTGTTTAATGGGTTTTGAAACTTCAGATATATAATTTTGATATTATTCATCATCTAGGGAGTTTTATGACTAATGTTGATACTCTTTCTCAAGTTCCTCTTCCTTCTTCGCTCTCTTCTTATCTTTCTGATGATTCTATTACTCCTGCATCTATGGATTTTTTGGACGAGGATTCCATACCATTAGTAATTGTTATACTTTACATTTAGTGTCCACAAGTGTAAAGCAAGATTTACTTTCTCTTGATGAGGTTCGCAAGGCTCAAAAGATTGAATCATAGATTCGAAAATTTCGCAATAGATTTGAGAATCATGCATCATTTATTGATGACTTGCCACTTTGGCATTTACATTCTCAATATCACCTTAAGAATGATCTTTTTTATTTTGTAGGGACGGATCCTAATGATTATTTATGGTTTGTGGTGCCTTTACTCTTTATTCTTCAGACCTACCATAGTTCTCCTATCATAGGCGGGCATATAGAATATCATCACGTGATCGAGAAGTTGCGCAGGTCTTTTTATTAGCTAGAGGTGCAATATGATGTTATCTAGTATATGTGTAACTAAGTCTAGTGCCAAGTTTATAATACTCCCCCTCATGTTGTGGAAGGATGGTTGGAGTTAATTGCAATTTCCTATTTGTTTGAATTGGTGGCATTTGATATAATGGAGTCTTTTCCATGGCTGACTGCTGGTAGTGAGTATATCATTATTGCTTTTGACTACTTAACTCGTTGAGTGGAAGTTGGTGCTCTTGCTAGCGCATCTACTACTTATGTTAGTTACTTCCTCTTTAATCGAGTGGTGTTCCAACATTCCTGTCTGGAGTAGATTCTTTTGGATAATGGTTCCACATTTATAGCTGAGGCATTTCACATTTTGATGTCTTGTTTGGGAATACACTCATTTGGGAAAATGTCATACTTTCATGAGTGCTTATCATCCATAGTCAAATGATTTAATGGAATGGCTCATTTGAACCTTCAAATGAATAATCATGAAATATGTGAACTTTCAACATTCAGATTATGATGGTTATTTGCTATCTCTTTGGTATGTGTATGTTATAAGGGTATAGAGTTCCATTAGTGCTTCATTATATAAATTCTTATATGATCATGATCCAATACTATCAATGTAGTTGAGTTTACTTTCACTATTGCTATAGGCTACTAATGTTAGATCGTGGGATCAATATTTGATAAGCATTCTTCCACTTGCCCGAGCACAATCTACCAATCTCTTGGGCTGCATACAAAGGGGATAACAATGGTGCTACAACTCCCACCATCATCCATCTGTGGAATACAAAATGAATGACTTAGTGTTAGTTTATTTTCCCCATGTTATGAAATGTGGTTTATCTAAAAGGTTTTTTGCTCAGTGGAAAGGATTGTATTAAGTGTTGTGGCAAGTTGGACCCAAAGTTTATGAGGTTTGGCACAACATTTAGCAAACCGATCCTCCAGAAATTGTGTATATGCAACAATTAAAACACTTTGTACAAAGGGATTATAAACAATTAACATCATCTATAGATCCATCAATGTTTCTTCCTGATATTCTTTCTAATCTTAGCCCATTCATAAAAGAACCTTGATGGTCTTCCATTATTCTAAAAAAAAGGGATGATGTGAAGTCAACCCCAGCCCATCCGTTACATCCACCATCACTCATATTAATATTAGCACAATAGGATTTTAGTAACCATCAAATTAATTTTAACTCGGACCACTCACTCCTATATATAAACTTAAAGTTTTTGGGTTAATTAATATACCATGGAAATATATATAGACCTTTATTTATGATTTAAGATAAAAGACTTTTCTGAACTAATTGAGATTAATCTCCTTCACAAAAAGATTCTAGTATTTGCTCTTCATGAAAACATTTTCCAGCGAGAACTTGGAGAAGAACCAAGACAATCCAGAGCCGCTTCTATCCCTGCAGCATTACAAAAGTTTAACAAGAGAGTGGAGTTCTTACTTGCTCAGCTGAGTCTCGGGCTCCTTGAGCTCCACCTAGAAACAAACTCAGACAAAAGAAGGAAGGGGGAATGTATACCTTTGAAGACGAATTTTCCAGCTCTTTGGAGGCGGGGGCGGCATCAGTGGAGTAGCCCTGGCGCTGCTTGTGCCTGGGATTCACCTTGCACACAATGTAGACGCGGCGGCCTCGCTGGACCGCGTAGCAGTGCTCGCACAGCTTCTTCACAGCCGATCGCACCTTCATCCCTAAACCCTAGCCCTAAAATGGAAGAAGTTTCTTTTTAGGTCTGGGCGGGAGAGAGATCACGATGCTGCGAGAATGACAAAGAAATTGAGGATCGTATTTGGCGTTCTTGGTGAGATCTTCGGCGGGCGCAACTACATTCCCTCTGATCGAAAGGGTTTTTGTTCTTTTGTCTCCACAGGCAACATCACTACGATTCTCTCCAGTTTAGCCCCAATGTAAAGTGTTTTATGCCTATGTCCTTTTACCTTGGTTGGTTTTTTCTAGACCCACATTCTACCGGATTTACAAGAGGAAGGACACTGAGAATTTCTCAGTGCTCCCATATATAACCACGATCTTGTGCAATTTATTCTGGGCTTGGTATGCATTGCCATTCATCACGAGCCAGAACCTTCTCCTCTTTATTATCAGTGCGATTCAGGTGGTGTTGCAATCCATCTACGTTATCATGTTCTTCATCTACGCTCCACCTGAAAGAAAGGTACTCTCCAATTTTATTCCTCAATTTGATTTGGTGATGTTTTTCTCTTTTCCTTCTTTGTTTCCTCCATTTGGTTTTTTCCAGTCGAGGACAACAGTAATGGTTGTCACGACCGTCATCCTCTTCGCCATGGATATAATTATAACAATGGCATTTCTTCGGCAGAGCAAGAGAGAAACTTTTGCCGGCGTGATTGCCACTATTTCTTCCATTCTGGCTTATGCCGCTCCCTTGTCTATCATGGTCCGTCATGTTCTTTTCTACGTTTTCTTTACTCAAAAACACGATTTCTCGGCAGGGCCTTGTAATCAGAACCAGGAGCGTCGAATACATGCCGTTCCTCCTCTCCTTGGCCATCTTTTGCAGCGGTTTTACGTGGACTGTCTATGGTATACTTGGACCCGACATCTTTGTCATTGTAAGTTGATCCAAAAGCTCTTGAGCTCCCGGTAAAAAAAACGCGCAAGGTAAATACACGTTGTTTTGCTTTCCACGGTGCCTCAATAATGGAACTGGCCTTTCTTTTCTTTATCGTACTCTGCAGATATCGGATGGGCTTGGCTTCCTGCTCTCCACGCTGCAGCTCATTCTGTACGCAGTGTATTATCGTCCCCCTGTGCAACAAGTGGCTTACGGGAGCGTCAAGAACTTGCCCGAGGAGCTGGAATCGGACCAACACCTGGTGGCAAGCTCCACACAGGCGGACGAGATCGAGCTGGAAAAGAGGTGGCACACTCGAAGCGAAGGCGGCCAAAACTCCAACCAAGGAGCGTCTCCTCCTGTTCCTCCTCCATCTCGGCCCTTGGAATCCATCAAGCTATCGCAGTCCGTCGTCCTGTACGACGACCCTCGGCTTCCGAACTAAGAAAGCAAAAGAGAAAACAGAGAACGAGACGCAGAGTGTCGGACAAGCAAGCATGGAAAGGTATGAAACTTGTCTTTCCGGCTCCTTTTTGACGTATTGACAAGGCCTTTTACAGGACTGGACAGTTTCCATCGGGACAGAGCGAAGAGATAAGCAAACGCTACGGCCTTGCGGGGACAGAAACGAGAAAAGACTCTGTTACGAGCCGGCTCGTCTCTTGCAACTGAAACGACAGTGCACAAGCCTTTGGATTCTTTCTTCCGTCTGTCCGTCCAGGCCGTGAATGACAGACTGATCAGTGAGGTATTTCTCTTTTCATCTTTTCCTTCCAGGAGTACTCGAGCGGGGCATCCATTGTCTATCCTCCCTTGCATTATGTGGGTTGGCGTGCTGTTTGTGGTCATTTCTCCGGAAAGGAAAGGCTGGATGGAGATTTGTGACAAAGCGAAGTCGACGCGAAATTTTTTTCAAACTTCGATGGTCCTTGAATGGGAAGTGGTGGACGATTCTTTTTCCGCTGCAATGACTTTTCCTGATTTGATAATTTGGTGCGCTGTTCAAATCACAGCGGCCTCCGTTCCAGTAAAAATCTCTATTGTGGTGTTTTTTCTTTCTAGTCAAGGAAATCCCGCTGCTCTTTTTGTACAAGTTTGTTTTTCCCGCAGCTTTAAGAAAATGTGGATGGAGTTTAAAGGCTTTGAGAATCTTGGCTAGACCCACCATGCTTGATCAACAACAATACTGTTACTATTGATGTTATTATTAGAAGAGAGATATCTGTGAAGCTTCTCTTGTAACTACGTCTCAATGACAGTAGTGTTAACATTGATATTATTATTATGAGAAAGCTTGAGATCTCCATTCAGTGGTTTCTTTCTTAGTTCCACCACCACCCTACAACACTGAGATACAAACTTTGCAAGGATTGCCATAGAGGATCCAGCATTTCCTTCCACAATGATTGTAGCTGCTAGATAGTGCTTAAGGTCCCTTCCACTTCTTTTTCATTTCTTTTTTCTTGAAAAAAGAAAAATTTGAAGCTTTTGCTTTTTCTCTTCAGTTTTCTTGGAGGAAAGAAGATTTTCTAGCAGAATGTGGGTGCCGCATTGTGTGCTGTTGTACTCACAGCCCACCACACCACTCAACTCAAGGAGTGGGAAGAGATTCTGTTCCTTTCGAGTCAGCTACAACAGCACTCACAAGAAAAAAGAGCCGAAACAAGAACAAAATTAAACATTAAAAATAAAGAAGTATTTGAAGATTTTACAAACACTTGTATCTGGGAAATTGATGTGGGGTCAAAGGGAATGCAACTACAGACAAAATTTAATCAATTAAAAAACAAATGAAAAAGGTGAGAGAACCTTTTTTTTCTTTTATGTTTTTTTTTTTTTACATCGTGGTTCCAAAAGTCAGTTGCTAGAAAGCGGTCCGGGGAAAAAGAAGAAAATGATCCAATCTACAGAAAGTCAAAGGTTTTGTAACCATTTTCTCGACACGCCATCTGCCTCTCATGATTTTCCGGCTTATTCAAGTCTAGCAAAATCAAGACAATATCAAGGCAAAGGTCGAAAATTCCCCCGCAATAACAAGAATCTTCCTTTGGTTTCCAGGTCCCACAACACGAGAAAAAGATGAAATTCTTTATTATGGATTTAACCCCCCTTTTCCCCCTTTTATTCCACCTTTTTTTTTCTTTGCCCCAAGGAACATGCCCAAGAGCGGTCCCGTCTCAAGGCACCAACCAAAGGGCCTGTCTCCAAAAAGACGGGCGTGCTTTGTTCGTCCTCCCGACCTGTCTCGCCATCGCTTTCCTCCGTACGTGGGTGGCAAAGTGTACGGAACGCGTCTTTGCCTACCTGGCCATTTGTGCTTTAGGATTTGGCCCCGCCACGCATTGGCCGGTGAAAATAGCGATGGCCAGGCGCCCGGATGGATGTTTTAAGACAACTTGAAAACAACAATAGTTCATAACTTGTCAACCTCCATCTGGTTAGTCTTGATTTGATCAGCTGGTCGTCATGGTAACTGATGTCAAGTAGTAGATCATCACTGCAAATTGTTTAAACTTGGAGAGCGATGGTTTCTGTCATGGAAGGAAACAATTCCAGAATGGAGCAGTAGCATCACACTGACATGTTTCCTTCTAGCTAATATGTTAGAATTCTAGTGTCGAATGGAACGTGGGGACTGGCAAATATAAAAACCTTGCAAGTCCTCGTGTATGGCAAGTGATAGAAACAAATCCAAAGCGTCGTCGGTGGTGGGGGTGGTGGTGGTAGCAATGGTGGTGCTATCAAGAAACAAACGCACAGACTAGGTGCATTTGTCTTCCTCCAACTCGTTTGACTCGCCTCTCTTCCCTTTTATCTTTGTAAGAGAATCAAATTCTCTCTTTTTCTTCTTCCATAAAGGAATTGTGTGGAAAGTTTTGACTACACAAAGGAAAAAGTGTGAAATTCACCAAGGTCAAGAGACCTAGCTATGTGATTGTGATAAAGAGAATTTCTTTGATCGTTCCAAGTGTTGCATTATTGCTTGCATTTTTACCAGGTGGCTTCTTGACTGACCAGGGGTCTTGAGCACCAATTCCCTAGGTAAGAACAAAGTGTGGCTATATGATTCTACTGTCGCACCACTATCACTGTTTTCCAGATCCTTTTTTTGACTCTCTTGACCAACTTTCAAGGCTTGAGTGTGGATTTTCGCGTGACTTCTGGCTTGCCGCAGAAGATGCAACGTGCAGCCGTTCAGATTGGAGTGGAATCAAGTGTGCTGACCAGATTTCATGTGGTCTTCCAAGCTTGTGAGGCCTCCCCGCAAGACAAGCGATCGCGTACTTGGTTCCGTGCTTGAGCTAGCAAAAATATGTCTAGAAACTCCAGAAGTTTATCCACAGTCCCTTCTTTTTAGGAGCTAAAAAGAATACGAAGAAGAAACACTGACACCCCACTACGCTACAACATAACATAATATGAGTGTCTAGAGTAGTTTGTCTTTTAGGTCTCCATAGGAATCAAAGTTCGCGTCCTAGGCGTGGTCAAACCGGTATAACACTGATAGATAGATTCCTTTTAAGTTTTTTCAATCCAAGGAGGAGGCACTAAAAGACACAGTTTGAGTTACAAAATCTCTAGTGTTGCAAAACAATCCAAATTGCTGAGCAGCTATAACACCCTTATAAGTGATTTCATTACTAACAAGTGGCCCTTCTCTTGTGGATTCTTGGAAGTTTTGCAGCCGACACGACGAGTCCCAAAACATTTTGTCGGTGTAGAAAGCCGAGTGTCGTGTTGCAAAGATCCTTGTCGTTGTGCTCTCGACTTTATAGGCGTTTTAGGCGGGATGCTTAACAAGGATTTTAGGAATAGCAGGCGGGCAGCAGCTAGTAGCAGTCTCAACTGGGCTCGTTTGACTCTTTCATGTCTTTAGATTTGAGATTAAGAACGCAACAACAAAGTTTGTGCCTGATTTGTCACCTTGTGGGTAGTAATCAAGCAACAAGAAAAAAACAAGACCAAGCAAGCAAGATCCTGGTTAGCAATCGTTGAGGGAGAAAGGTGGCGACCCGAAACTGTTAGCTTATTTTTGTTGTTAGCACTATCTAGTGCTAAAGTGGCCAGCACAAACCAAAATTCTTTTCGCTTTGATTTTGAGACATGATATTGTGCATTGTTCTCTTTGTGTTGCAGCCACACCCTTCCCATCTCAAGATTTACATGCCGGCTCTGCCTTTTGGACAGCAACAATAATATTGTATGGAATTTTGGCTTGCATTCTTGAATTCTGGTCATTTTTTGGGTTGGGCAATGTACACAAGGATGTGAGTGTGTGGCCCTCACACGCAGGCATATAAACTCTTCCTGATGTGGCTGGGGTGGCAGCAGCAGAAACACAAAAGATTGCAGTGTGCTGTTCTCCTATTGGGTGATAAAATACAGCAAAAAAGATCGCAAAAAAAGGAAAAGAGAGCATAGCAATTGGCTGGTTCCATCTAGAAGCAGCAGGCCAGGAGGAAGGGCAGTCCTTTTGATTTGCATTTGCCTCCCTTGTCCTCTTCTTTCTCTACATTTTGCCCTCTCTCCTATCACTCTTTCCTGGCTGTGCTACATGCCTTGCCTTGGCAGCACAGTGGGGAACCCACCACCCCACTCATCATTCACCACCAATTGTCTTGCATGCTATCCATCTCTATCTGTTTGCTAGCCACTAAGCTAACAGCTTAAGCCTCACTGATCATATGATTTGATCTTGATCTCTATCCAATCTTTGTTACAAAGGTTCAGAGCTGAAGCTGGCTGGTGAATTCCACACACGTCAGGAGAGAAGGCCAAAGTACACACAAGGCTTTCTTTGTTTTGCAGTAGCTCCACTTCCATCCAATGGGAGCCCCCACCTCCCATACGAGGAGCAAAGAACTCGTGACGACTATACAGCCCACCTAAGCAGCACTTCCTTCTTCTTGTGTTCGGTTGGCAGAAAAGAAAGCAAGGCATGAACTTTAGGAGAAAAGAATGATACCTTTGGGCATATACATCCATATATCAAATGCCAAACAAATACAAGTGGCAATCTAACCGATCACCACCACCATTTAGTCTCTAGAAGGAAATAAACAAATTCCAGAAATTTTAAAGAGAGGAGTTCCTGTTTTCCCCTCCTCTTACACCAATGATCCATCCATCCCCCACCAGGAAAAACCAAAAAAATGAAAAGAAGAAAAGAAAAGAAAAGGACTTTGAGAATAATGTAGCTAGCCTTCTTATGGCTGGCTGCTGATCAATCTTCCCTCATATACTGCAATTTGCATTGTGACTTGTGCTGGGCCAACTTCTCTGGAACCACAATGTACCAAACCGGCCTAATCTCGTTTATCAATTTTCTTGCTTGTTGCAAAGTATTGCTGTAGCTGCTGGAGAGCACTGGTGCTGATGCGAACTCTTTGCTGTTGGTAGTGGTGGTGTGGTGGTGCTGCTACTGCTGCCACTGTAGGTGTAGCTCCCGCACACGAAAAACAAGAAAAGAAGCTGCTCTCTCTCTTTTGTGTAATCCACACCAGTTAGCTACACTTAAAGCCGCAACTTTTCTGGATGGCGACACCGAGACCAAGAGGCTCGCTTCTTGCCTCTCACTGCACGCACAAAAAGAAAACCAGTCACCCTGTGCACGCACATACCCATCCAACCATCCACCCATCCATGACTCAAGGAGAGCCTTCCACCACCTTTTGCATGACGCAGATTCGACGACACAAGTGTTCTTGCAGCAGCCAGCCGGCCAACCAGCCTCCCCCGCCATTACCGGTTTTAGTATCTAGATCTGATCCCCTCTTGTCCCTGTCCGCCTCCTTCAAGTAGCTGCTGCTGTTGCCGCTGCTGCCGCAGTAGTTTCCTGCTGGTGCTGCTGTTGATAATGATGTTGTTGATGATGATATGGTTGACGAAGATGATTATGATGATGATGAGCAACAGTAGCAGCTGGAGCAGCGGCAGGCGGGGGAGGAGGAAGAAGGGGAGGAAGCTTGTCTCCGTGCTCCCTTTCACTTTCCACCAGGGGCATCACCTTCACCGATATGACGGCCGCCTCGTCTTCATCAACTCTAAAAGTCGTCTCATGGTGGCGATGATCCACTGCCTTGCAAACATTGCTGTTGCTGCTGCTGTTGTTGTTGGTGGCAGCAGCACTGAGCACACTAGTGGCGCTGCTCGTAATGGTGGCGGTGGCGGTGGCGGTGGCGGCGGCGGCGGTGCTGCCACTGTTGCTGCTGCTCATGATGCAGCTCATCTCCTCCTCGTCATTCCTGGGACTCGAAGCAGCAGCAGGAGCAGCATCCACCGAGCACGTCAAGTGCTTGGCTCTCTCCGCCTGCAGAGCCCAATCCGTCCGCATCAGCACAATCATCATGAGGGCCGCACATGTCCCTTGTGCCGCCAGCAGGCCCAGCCAGAGCCCAGGGAACCCGACATTAAACAAGAACCCAAGAGCCATCGCCACTGGCATCCCCACAAAGTAGAAGGATCCCAGATTGATGTTGGCCCCCGTCGATGGCCGCGCGCAGCCCCGGAGGACCCCACAGCCAGTTGTCTGCGGACAGTTCCCGAGCTCGCACAGCCCAACAATGGGCAGAACCAGCGACGTGAGCGAGAGGATGGAGTCGTCCTTGGTGAACATGCCCCCCCACACATGCCGCATCGTCGTCGTGAACGTCATGGCCAGCACCGCCACCACCCCCGCGCAGGCCAGCGCCACCATCATCGCAATGCGGGCCTTGGCCGGCCGGTTGGCGCCCAGCTCGTTGCCCACCCGCGTCGACACGGCCAGGCTGAGCGACGAGGGGAAGATGTAGACGAGCGCCGTGGTCTGGATGAGGATGCCCATGGACGCCACCGCCGCCTTTGCGTTGGTCAGCAGCCCCGACACGATGATCATGAACTCGTACCACCACCACTCGAGGCACACGCTGATGCAGCTGGGGATGGCCAGGTTGAGAAGCGGGCGCCAGTCCTTGAGCGAGTCCCGCGACCAGCCGTCCCACGTCCTTTTGTATTTGCCCGAGATGCGGAGGTAGCCCACCAGGAAGATGACGAGGTTGAAGTCGGTCAATGCGGCGGAGAGCGCCACCCCGCGGATCCTCATCTTCAAGTGGATCACCAGCAGCAGGTTGATGGGAACGTGCAGCGCCAGCGCCAGCGCCGAGCACCAGGTGAGCGGCGTGGTGATGTTCTGCGTCCGCAGGTAAATCCGGAGGGGGTTGAGAATTGCCTGCGCCAGCAAGTCGGGAAGCGAGAAGAGTATGTATGTACCCGCCATTGCCGTGATGCCCTCGTCCTGGCCGCACCACAGCAGAATTCGCTGCATGTTGATCCACAGGCTGGCGATGGGCACGCAGACGCAGAGGAGCACCAGGATGGTCCGCTGGAGTGTAATGCCCATCAGGTGCCACCTCTTGGCTCCGCAAGCCTGGCCGCAGATCGGCTCCATCCCCATGGCCAGCCCCGCCAGCACAGAGTAGCCGGTGATGTTGGCGAAGCCCATGGATAGAGCTCCTCCAGCGAGCTCCATCTTCCCGAGATGGCCTAGAAATAGCATGGATATCATAGACCTGGCATAAAGAAGCAGACCCATTACCACCATGGGTCCCGCTATGCCACTCATCTGCTTCAATTCCTCCACAACCTGTGCTCCATTTGGAAAAAAAACGAGAAAGGATCGATCAGTGCCTTTGCTCTCTACCTCGGTCTCACACGCATGACAAAGTCACAGCACGCATTCTTTCTTCCGCTCGTCGCGACCGACTGACTCGCTCTCACAGGCACCGTGCCGGTGCCGGTACAATATCATACACAAATCCACGCGAACGCGACACGGCCTCCAGTCCAAGCTTGTCACAGAGCATAGCGGGCGACTGACACCGATGGATCCACAGCAGGAGAGGTGCAAGCAAGCAAGCAATACATTTACAAACGTGCCCGTATGACCGAGGAAAGAAATGCCACATGAAAACAAAGGATATAAATCACAGCCAAATCGGAGATCAAATCCCGAGGGAAAAAAATACAATAACACAGTGATTCTCGCGAGCAAGCAAACTAGCTGGCCATGGACGCTGGCTGCCGTGGGAGTGATGGTACCACAGGCACACACCAGCACAGCGCCGCACGGAAAAAATTCCCTGGAAAAATCACGATCAAGGCCGCAAGCAATGCATGCAGCCAAGGAAAGAAAGAGGGATCCAAGAAGAGAAAATATATTATGGCAAGAGACACCCACCTCGGCGGATGTTGGCCATCGATGGAGCTCCGATTCGTAATCTTTCACGGGCTGGACGACAGGATCGTTGATGCTGGGAAGCACGAGCACGATTGACGAAGGCGCTGGCGCTGGCGCTGCCGCGGCGGCGGCAATCAGAGGATTATCTTCCTCGCACTCGCAGGGATTGAGACGACACATCGCGGCGGCGCGGCAGGAGGAGCGAGAGCAAAGAGAGCAGCGGGGCGAGAGAGAGGCTGATTTCTTGGCAAAATCTCGTCAATCCGGTGCTCAATCACACCATCCGGAGCTCAGCCCCGCCCGAAATCTGGACAGAATGCCGCATCCCGGGCCTGTTGTGCGCGCTCCCCAGGCAGGGATTCTTGGAGAGAGCGAGGCGCGGCGGCGACATCTGCATTGGCGACGGGCATCCGAGCGGCTCCTCGGCGCTCCAGAAATCGCGGCCGCGCGCGCGACACCAAGAAATTCCCCTCGCGCCTTCTCTCGCGCGGGCAGCGCCCCGCCCCGGGAACACAGGGTAAAACAAAGCCAAAGCGCTTATAGTGACCTAAAAATCGGGCCGAGGAAGGAGCGAGCAATGGCAATGAAAGGCGATGAGCAAGGGGGCGGTGCTTTAAGTAATACTAGATGGCCGATGCGATGACTCCAGTGGACTTTTTTGCGTGGTAAAACTTGTTTGTGCTATAGCTTGGGTTACTCAACCGGTTGTACTTTCGCCAGGCGGCCAGGAGTGGTCCACTTTCGCCCCGTCCGTACGGCAGAAATTTCGGTCTAGCTATTTGGCAATGTTATGGTGGAAAAAAGAATAACAAAGCAACGAATCTTACTTATGGGAGCATTGTGATCCTTCTGCCCTTCACTAGATGCCGCAATTGGCACATTCGAGCTCCCCAAAAAGCCACCATTTGGCAAATTTATGCTCTCACCCATTTTTTGTTAAATGTTTGTTGGGCAAACTTTTGGCTTTGGGCCGTAAATCTAATGTTCTTAAAACCGGCTTGTAACTAAACGGCCCAAAACAAACGCGTTGGGACAAGGCACAACTTGTTCCCAAATGTGGTTCCATCAATCAATCACGCACGCTGTTCTTCTAAACATCCAAAATTCCATTCAAAGGACTCCCAAGAGATGCCACTCCCATAGCTTAGTCTCGTTGTTTTTGTTTGGCGGATCATTGCCATGCCAGTGTTGTTTGGCGGGGGCGGCCTGATTGTTAGATTAGTGCTTGACCCACGTGTTTATACGCTTAACAAAATCAAAGACTTCGTACGGCCTCGGACGTAGAAATACCAACCACCAGCCGTTATAGTCTTTCAAGAGGTTTTGTATAATATCTGGTCGACCATACTTGTCACCAATCATGCAGCCTTAGTTGTATGTGTGTGTGAGTGTGTGTGTGTACGTGGGCGATACAATAAATGTACTGGATGCGTATTTATACAATATACGTCTCAATCGGCTATACTTCTAATTAACGATCTTCGATTAGGGTGTATGAGGAGCCCTAAAGGCGTCGGGCGCCCGCGCCGAGCCGAGGTAGGCGTTTCGGAGCTGGATTTCATGGCGGAGGAGACTCTAGCTGCTAGATTTCGAGGCGTCGATGTGCCGCCGGCGCCTGCATTCTCGCTCGCATTTCCCGGTGTGGGGAATGGATTTGTCGGCATAAGGCGTTTGCTAGAGGCAGCGATGGCGGCTGAACGGTAAGTAAAATCCACTTGCCAAATCTCAACTCCTGCGTGACCGGAAGAGATCTCTTGCAGTTCCAAAAGAGTTCCACACCTTTCATCGGCACCAAAGTATCCGGCCTCTATGACTTACGATAAGCATCGTAGGCTTTCAAGCTTGCGTCCCAGGGTAGCCAAGCCCGATAAGAAGAACGGAGAATTTCAAAGGGAGTGACTCGAACGGCTGTTACACCGATTCCTTCCACGCATACCCACGGATCGGATCGGAGGGGGTAATGCGTACAACAAGAGGAGGAGCCCAAATCTATTTTAAAGCTTGACAGCGAGCATCACTTCACAGGTCTCGGTTGAGAAGTCCTTGCTTGGCGTGGTTGGAAGGAGTGCGAAATAGGAGTTAAGGGGGACCCCGCTGACAACTTGTGTCATCATCTGCTTGATCGAGAACATCGACCCCATGGGTTTGTTCACACTTTTCCACAGTAGCACCAGCTCAGATCCTGACAGAAAAGGATACGAGAGACCGCGGGACCAAGCTAGAGCCGAGAGAAAGGTGTTGAATGCGGTGGCTCCAACGTCCAGTTTGCAGTAAATCTGAGAAGTGATGGTTATCCAGATGATCGTCGGCGCTGGCTTCAAAGGTCACTGGTTTTTCTATAAAGCTGCACTTTGGACCAGATTCCCAACGAAAGGCACCTTGCTAGTTTTGAGCCATCCATGGACTGTGCGGTCACGAAGGTCAGTTCTCTTGCGTCCTTGTCTTTCTCGTCCTTTTTCTTATGAGGATTCCCGTTTGCTTTGTGTGTAGTGTGTGCAGATTCCTCGTTCTGCTTTTCAGGAGTTTCCGGGATCGCAGGTTCCATACTTCCCATTCAGATGAAGGCGGACTTTCAGGAATCGTTTTCGAAAGCCGTTGGGAGCGGGTGGTTTTGGATGTTGCGAAGGTACCAAAGAACTCAAGTGACGCCGAGGGGATTAAGTAACCAGTTCCGGATATATTCCGTTTACGCGGAGAACGAGCTCGGAAGAAATTAGCGAGCTGACTTTTTTCGATCCGTGGTTCCTGGGACAGCTCAAGGAGTCATTCGTGGTGGAGGAGTTTCTGTCCAACACAAAGCTGACACAGCTATGTACCAGATCAAGCAACGAGGTTTTTGGCGACAGACAAGTTACTTATGCTACAAAAACTGCCGAACCAGAGGTTCGAGCTCACAGGGCTCTGGGAGTGGTGCCAGCATTTAACACCTGTGCTGCAGAGTTCGAAGCCAACACACCTTACAGGTACTCATCCTATGACGATAGCCCCAGGCTTGCAACAGGAAGAAGTTATTGATCCTTGGTGGTGGTCCCGATCGTATCGGACAAGGAATTGAATTCGACTACTGCTGTGAATTCGACTACTGCTGCTGTCATGCATCCTTCGTACTTCACGTATGTACATGCTCCTCCTGTTTGTTCTTGTTAAGTTACTGCTTTGGTTGGTCTGTTTTATGATCGTTTCTCCTTGATTGACTGGCGCGTTTTTTTTTTTCCGTTCCAGGAAATAGGATTTAAGACAACAGATGATGAACTCCCGTCTCAACTGGCTATGATGCGAGAGGTGGTCTGGCTTTTCAGCCGCGGTCTTGAATATCATTGATTTGGAGAAGCCGGACGGGCAGTTTGCTTGCCAAACATCTTTGAGGCTGGCGGTGCCTTTACAAAACTGTCTGGATGAGGCTTCTCCAAATTCTATCGACGCTGTCCAGGACAGGAAAGGCTGTTCAAGCAGCTGGGAATAGCAGCTCGTCTGGAGGCAGAAGGCGCATTGGAGATTGCAGAGAGGCGGTCCTTGTCCGTCCTTCCTATGTTCTTGGTGGACGGGCCATGGAGATAGTTTACAGCAACGAAAAGCCTGGAAGAGTACTTGGAGACGGGGGTTTGAAGTAGTCGATCCTGACAGACGACAAGTATCTGACGGGCTCTTCAGAGATCGATGTCGACTGCCTGGCGGATGGCAACGGAGCCGGGGAATCATGGAACACATGGAGCACCGAACACGGAATGCTGGAATAGCATTCCGGGGTCACAGGGGTCCTTAATGACGATACGAGACGCAGGAGCTCAGCGTCTGCTGCGCTGATCGACTGTCGCACAGAACTTCACATCATGGAGGCGAATCCAGGTCCCGTTTGTTTCCAAGCGATTGACATCTGCTGCCAGGAAGCGGTGGAGCTATGCTTAAGTTGCGATATATATAGCGATATATATTATAGGTTTAAAATATTTAATATTTTAAATATATATAACCCTAGTTCACGAGAATTTAAACTGTTTGGAGAATATGATTATTGCGACAATTTATATATGGATTTACACATACAATCATAGATGTGGTTTTAGTTTCTAGCAAAAAGCATTTGTTTGCTGAACTGTTTGGTTGTATTGCTTATATAAGTCATACTTCGTCATGTGTATATGTGTATATATACAGTTAAAGATGTCATAAAATTGCCTCTTTCTTCTTTCTTTCTTTTATTTATTCTCTTACCATATTGTGAATAAATCAAAGATTTATTAGCTTGTTATCATCTTCAATGGCCTTGAGGCCAATATATCTTCTATAACATTTAGCTTTTGAGGAAATAAAACCAAATCCAGAATAATATTTCTTCAGTGCCGAGCACAAGTTTGGAATGCTGTCTTGAAAAGGATTTACATTAAACCCGGATCTACAAATGTATTTGTCCTCATTAGTATAGTTGCATGGTTCTAACCATAGGCTTTTTATTGTTGCAATTCCATGACAAAAAGTCACTGCAACCATTGGACAAGCTATATTGATAATTTTGAAAGTTAAATTGATACCTTCAAAAAGTAGAGATCTTCACTTCAACTTCAAATTCCCGAGCTCCAATTATATTTGTACTTTATGAGCTCATTCCCCATCTCCTTCATGGCATCCACCACTGTCCTAAGCTACTTTCGCAATCCAATGAGCCTATTTCTTATTTCCAGTTCACAAACATGGTCTAGCAATTTGCACTCGTAGACTTGCTCAATAAGCTCAATTCTCTATTGCACCTACTTGTTAGAGTTGAAGTAAGATGCTTGGTAGTTGGGGAATGCTTCCAACAGCTCATATTGTAGCTTCTTCCCAGGTAAAGTCGGTGGGAGATCTGCAAATTGCTTCAAGTACTTCTTGCCCCTAGAATGTGATGTCACATTTGTTAGCCGTCCCTCTCGTGATCCTCAACTCGGTGTGGCTCCCAGGTAAGTAGATTCCACTGTTGAGATAGATACCCACCTTTGTCAAAGTGGAGTTCTCTAGTCGTCCAACACTTGCGGCCGTTCTTGGCTGGCTGGCTGCTGCTGTGGATAGTAGCTCACATAAAGAGGAGTTTGTCCCAAGAACTTGGCCACTATTGTTTGTGATCCTTTGCATGGATGTCCCAGCACCAATATTCATATATCCTGCGCACCAGGCTGTATGGCAGCTGCATGATAAGGCCGATTAAGAATCAAGGACTTGTTGAGAGAAGGAGCTCCAACAGCCATGTGATGCTATGATTCACAAATGTTTTCAAACAAGACTTGGGCATTTAGGGAGATCTGGAATGTCAATATGTTGTGCAAGTTTAAGAGATATGATGTTGGTGCTGGATCCTGAGTCAAGTGAAATCAGCATGTGCCACCTTTGCTAGGAGGACAAAAGCCTTTGAATTAGAAGTCTCCCTAGTAGTCACCGTGTGGACAAGTCCTGGTAAGGTAGACAGTGAGCTATGCAAACTCTTCCAAGCGTTAGCTAATTCCTAGAGCTAGTTGCAAGAAGGAATAATAAGACTTGAGTCTCAAGTATAATTCTCTATCTCACCTTTTTCTAGGATTGATTGACCTTAGAGAGTTTTAAGTCAAAGTGGAAAAGCCAAAGGAAAAGGCAATTTACACAAAGTGAGTTTAGCATAGAAGTTGTCACCTTTGTTGCTGGATTGATCTCTTTATGACTGTGGTCTTTTTCTTATGGCCTTCTATGGCTATTGTGATATGATGTTTGTTTGTAGTGGTTTGGATCATGTTCACCTATGAATGAATGGTGCAAGAGCTTTGTATTTAGACTGTTTAAACTATCAAGAGCTTGTCATCAAGAGAGGGAAGATGATGAAATTACTAATCAAATACTAAATAAAAGAAGAAAAAAATGAATTTGTGTTAAACACTTTAAATATAAAGTCCTAGGTTTATAATGATCTTAGAAACTAATTTGGTCCAACCTATGAATGAAAAATATTTTTTAATGTAATTTGAGTTCAAATCTCATGAGTAAAAGTTAAAGTTCAAATCCTAAAATACACTTTAGCAAATATAGAAAGATGGCAAATATATGATATTATGCCCCCCCTCTAATACTAAGCACTGAATAGCAATATAAGTGGCTAAATGGATATCATTAATGGATTTTGCAACTAACTCAAAAGCATAAGTAAGATGAAAAGTATGCTTCTAAGTATGATCACTAGAATGATAAATATAAATAAATTTTTACTAATACATTACATATATCTCTAAATCATAGAATTCAGAAACTGAGTAAATTTAATAATATGAATTAGTTAGATTTACATCTTCACTCCTTAAATTTATAATAAAAATGATAAAAAATTTAAGATTTAGAGTAAACTTTGTAATATTGTAATTTCATTGTTAATTTTTCTAATAATTTTCAAGTGATTTCTTAGCATTTATCACAAGTGTAATTAATCTAGTAACATTTTTAGAAAGATAAAACTAATACCTAAACATTTCATTTTATACAGTAGTTATTGAACTTGTTTTGCCATTAAAAACAAAATAGTAAGCTTATAAAGTTTATAAATCTCAGTGAATTTTAAATTCCTTATTATTTTGTAATTTATTCTAATCACTACAACAAATTTCAATGAGTTAATGTAAAGGTTGAAGCTGATAAAAAAGCCAAATTTCACTAAATGCATTATAATAAACCTGTAACATTAAATTTTCAAAGAATTAGAAGAAATTTCCTCCCCCACACAATTGGCATGGCAGTAGTTGATATTTGCAATCTCCTAAACTATTTGCCTTTCTAAGTTTTTTATTTTTGGTTTACTAGAAAATAAAGGTAGGTCCTTATTCTTTCATTATTCATACTCCCTTTACTAAATCTCTTATTTAAAAATATTATCTAAGAATATACTTTTCATCTAATGGTTAAACTTTAAAAACTTCAAATAGATGGCATCAATGCTTTAACTTTGTAATGACGCTCCAACCTTTGGGATATTGGGCAGATTTTGAGCTGCAAAGTAGCTCTGTGTGTGTGTGTGTGTGTGTGTGTCACACACACACACACACACGACACGACTGCTGAGAAGACCGATTTCTGAACGACTTCTGAACAGCACACTGGACGCTGCAATACTGCAATAGATCAATGAACCAGCAATAGACCAAGCATCAACTGAAAGTGCAGTTACTTTTGAGTAAAGATGTGTTTGCAACCTTGACCTTTAGGTAATCTCTATCCTTGCTTCATTGTAAATAAGCGCCAGCACTGTGAATTTCTTATATAAATTTTCCACCTTATACACCAGGGATGCATGAAGGACTTGGCATTCCATTACAAGCTTTTTACACTATGCAGGAAGAAATCATACTATTTGCAAGGGTATTGATTTCTTTGTAAAAGCCAAGAAAGTGAAGAAAATTCCTGAAGAGGTCGCCAAGTTCCTCCTGAGTACCACAGGTCTCAACAAAGGCAGGATCCAATTTGGCAATGTGAAATGGTAACAAAGTTTTGAGCCATTTTGGACAAGGTATTTGAACCGGTGGAGAAAGTTGTTAGAGATTACTTTCAACACATTACTGAAATTGAGAACACAATATTCAGAGACTGTGTGAATTGCCTTCTTGCATTCATAAACAACAAGTTTAGTGATGATATCGGCCTCAACGCTCTCGCTTTTCTGCATTTTTGCACCTTAAAGCTTGGTGAAGGAGAGCTCAATACTTTCAGATAGTAACAAACATCAAGTTGTTCCATGCAGCTTCATTGGAATCATCAAAAGCCAGCACTCACTGTTTTTGAGAAGTAAGAAGATTTTTATTACTCTCGTTACCACAGGTTGACGATTCATTCAGATGAGATTATTAGTAACAATGACGAGCTTATGTGCAATTTTTCGCCCAAGCAGACGTGTTGGCTTATGGCAAGGTCAAGTGGACAAGTTCATGGACCCTGAACTGTGGACAACCAAGTTAGAAGAATAGAAGGAGGAAATGCAACTTACCTCAGCAGCGGCAAGTTGCCTTTCTGGTGGAGCTATGGAGACGACGACTCTTCATGCTGCTGTGCCATGGAGCAACGCACTCAACTCCACACTAGCAGGAGTCCAAGTGAAGGGAGCTCTAGACAGAGAGGCTTGTTTTTCTGTTGCAACCTCTGGAACTTCACTAATACTTGTGGCGAGACTGCATCTCTGAGTAATATCCCTCCCAGCCTTGAAAAAGTTGAAAGTGGCCCTGAGCAAGATGATCATCTCTTCTTCTGGTTTCCTTTGCTTGCAAGTAATAACATCCCATCTGAGTTTTGTGGGTTTATTGAATTTTGTACTAGGATTGGCAGAGTTACGTACAGCGATTCCTAAGAGTGTTGTGGCCACAGACATGGGTTCTCAACAAGTTCTTGGGAACAGATATACAACATTGTCTTATTCCCTCTCTTTGATACAGAATGGTGATCGATCAAACTTCAGAACATTGAAACATTTGTAAAAAGATTATGCTTCCTTTCAGAAATTTCAAGCAATTGCATTCAATATTATAATGTAAAGTTGTGATGCTGATAGATTGGAAGAACAGGATATGAGATAAGATAAAAGTGACTCAGAATAAAATAAAAAAGATAACAAGATGTAAGAGCAAAAAATTACCATTGGTTGAATATTCTTTGGAGAAATGAAGCACTGTCTTGTACAATTAAGAAAAGAAGAAACCTTCTGGTATCCAAATAACTTGAGTGAAAAGGTTTTTACAGTTTATATAGGTTGTTAGTTTAGGAGCACAAGGAAATATCGGTTTCTGAATTTATAAGAAAACTATAAAGATAAAGATTGGCTTATTGTTTGTCATTACTTTAGGGGTAAGTTCAGCTTTTGTGTTTTTAAGAGAACCAAAAGGACAAAGAACATTGATTGAAAACTATAATTAGTATAGTATATATTTAAATGTTAGTGTCTATTTATCTATTAGCATCATTTACTGCTTGCCAGCTGCCACAATGTTGACTATTCTTTCTATTGAAGTTAGTT